AAATTAATTGTCAAATATATAACGTGAAGTAGCAGATGAGCCTAATTTGTATAATATAACATCAATAGTAACTAATAAAATATTTTATTTTAATTCTTCATCACAAAAGTAACAAAATGATTTACCATGCACTGAGTCAGTATTGATTGTTTTATAGTCTGTCCTGACTTGTTTTTCTGACGCCATTATTTTTTATTTTACTACTATGAAGTATGTCTCCCTTCTACTGACATCTTACAAACAACCCCTATTGAGGTCATTTTACCTACCAATAGTATGTTTATCAAGTGCTAGTAGATATTCCTTCATGTTTGCAATGTTAATATTTTTTAAATCCTATAATTTTAATTCTCCAAGTAACTATCACTTTTGTTTTTACTTCATGGTTGACGAATACAAGATACTTTCTGTGCTAGGCATTCATGCCAAGTATTTAAACAATGACTAATCTTCATTCACATTTTTCTCAGTCTACCAAATGTTTAAATGACGAATTGGCATATATAACTTAACCTGAATTTAAAACAATTGAATATGTATTATTAATGTGTTTTATTGTGCTTCCCAAAATGACACGGTTATACTCAAGACATACAGTTGTGGACATTGATGTTAGAATTTTGAGTATGAAGCAGTTTAACATGTTTTTATGCCTGTTGTTGTTAGTGTGGAGCTGACCTATTATGAGGCTGAAAATGTAAATCTCCCATGGCTCTCTCAAATTTTAATTTAAATATCATTTTTACTCTTTAATTTAAATATTACACTCTTTAATTCAAATATCACCAGTAAAAGGGTTCCCACGTTGAAAGGTAAAAGCTGTGTTTGTTTACTTTCAGATTATGTCAGGCAAACTAGCTTTCCCCATCTGTCCTGTCACTTCATAGGTCCTGGATGATTGTTTAAAAAACACAAAGATAATGTTCTGTTTTTCTCTAATCTTTCTTCTTCCTTTCTTTATAATTTATCCAATGCTATTTTGTTAAACATACTAGCTGGCTTTATGTCCATATTTAAAGCTTGGAACACTATAAGCTTTATACATCGAGTGCTGTTTGTGAGCTCACCTCTGACATTTAATACTAATGATGTGCTTTGTAAATCCAAATGAGAGAATATGTTAAAGAAGAATTCCAAAGGGTCAAACAGTTGATACATATGAGACATCATCCTGAAATCAGAAATATTTGACTTTTACTCATGAAGTAATAGTGAGCTAATCAAGACCCATACAAACAAATTGTTTTCATATTGATAAATTAAAGTATCATGTGGAATGGTATAAATTATAATTTTTCTCTGTTATATTAACAGTAATAAAAATATTATCCACTGGTGTGAGATGTGTTAATATTAATAAATTAGCTGGGCAAAGAATATTCTCTCATTTCACATGCTCAATTAGTACACTGCATAATTAAAATCCACAGGAGCTTTTATTCTACAGCATGTGGAACTATTAGCTCTTCCATGACACTCTAACAGTGCTTGCTTTTATGTAGGAAAATACATCCTTCCAAAGCTGGGGGCATTGGCTCTGGAGGCTGTTACTTTCAAACATTCCATGCAGAATTTCCCACATGAGAGCAGGCTCGTTCCAGCTGCCAGGGACACATCTTCGGAAGCGCTGTCTTTCTCTTAAATACACTGGCGCTTGCATAAGACTACATAATTTTAATTTGTGATTGGCCAAAAGTTGAGAAAAAGATTTTTCATAAAGTGTTCAGTATTAGCGAACTAATGAAATCAAACTCTTTTTCATACTTTCTATAACATTTAATTTTTTCAGCTTTTATCTCCTGGGATGTAAATATTACTTTGATGCAAATAATTCCACCTTCTAGTTACCAGTTATTACAGTTGTTTCTTAGAAAGTAAATCCACCTGCTAACCAGGTCTAAAATCCCAACAATTTTGGATGCCTTGGCTGAGTATACAGTAGCTCCTAATTTCTCTGTTTATTCATATTAACTTAGAACAAGAGTTTAAACAGCAAGGGTGTGAGTCAAATTGTTGCAGTTTTCCTGCCCAGCTACCATGTGAAAAAAAAGTATGAAATTACACATGCACATGGCTATTTATTAAAGTACTAACTGTAAATGCAAAAGACTGGAAACTTCTCAGATGGCCATCAGTAGGGCATTGGTGGGCAAAACTATCATAAATCCTTAAAAGAGATTGCTACGGCTGTAAAATAGAATGAGAAGGTCTCTATACTGCTATGGCGTGATAATGAAGACATATTGTTAAGTGAAAGAATATACATAGTAATGTGTATTATTCTATTTTGTGTAAGAAAGAAGAGAATATGTATATTTTCAGAAATAAACAATGGAAGGATAAAAACCAAAACTTAATAAAAGTGATTACCTATGAACTGGGGAGAGAACTAGGGGAACGGGAATGGAAAGGACCTCTATACATCTCTGAACGGTGGTGTTATAAGTTTTTACTTAAGACCCATGTGTTTTATATGATTAAAAAAACAAATATTAATTACAAAATCAGTAAAACGAAGCAAGACCTAAAAATAAAAAATGAATGGAAACAAACTAACCTAACTATATATCAAGTTGGTGACATAATCACATGGAGAATTATTTCAGGTGACTTTAGAGCATAGTGTTTTGACAGTTCATCAGTGAAATAAATTTTAAGATTAAAAAGAACCATAAAGGAATTTTAAATTGCATTAATTCATCTTATTAATAGTAATATTTCCCTTATTATTTTGAAATTAATACAAAATTCACATATTAGGAAAAACAATTATGCATTTTTGATCATTTATCATTAAGGCCTATGTTTTTTAGAGTAAGAGAAAAGATATATAAAACCATAGACTTTAAAAGTTCTATAATCTTTAATTCAGTGGGTAGTATCAGCATGCACTCAACAATTTTTCTCTTCCAAAAATGAGTACAAGTTTCCCTGCTACCCAGAAGAGCATTCTTATGAAATTTTTCATAAGTCAAAGTGCCATAAAGCAAAGAGGCAATTACCGTTAATTTATGTGAAAAAAGTTTTGAACATTCCCAGACCCAAAAAATAACCTACCAAATCGCACTGAATCATCTATAACAACAGCAACACAGGGTGAAAGCAGCGCCGCTCCCACTGCTCCATGAGCTGCCTCTGTAATGACTTGCTGCAAAATAAACGCTGAACACTATTTTCACTTTTTACCATTCTCCCATAAAAGTGAAAATCCTCTTAAGATTTTTTAGTTAGCAGAAGCACGTAGGTCTTTTGTAAAAGTGAAGTGGCGTAATGGGAACTTTTGAAAAGCGGAGGGGTGGAGGGGGAGATAGTTGTACTTCCTATCCCACCCACTGAAAAGGCTGGGCAACAATGGCGATCCAGTGACAGTGAGCACCCCTACTGCCCAGGTTATTGTCTCTAAAAACCATCCCTCACTAAAAGGTGTCCAAGCTCTTTAGAGAAATGACTGACTTCAAGTGTGGGATGGAAACTATTAGAGGAGCCTGGAACATCTTATCACACGTTAACTACTAGAGATCATGTCAAAAGGATTCAGGAACCACCTTGAAGAGGTTTCCACCACCCAAAGGCAGGGTAATTTGGGCATCAAAATATGAAAATGACTACCATGGACTGAAATACATTAACTATATAAATATTTATTAACTCATTAGTCATCTTCCGGCCAAAACTAATTGAGGGAATAAAGTTAATATATATTCTGTATAGACTATATTTTACAGCCACCATATAGTCAGTGAGGGAAGTTCTTCATTATAGAGGAATCAGAACTAATAAATGCAGGAAGAATAATAGAACTAGAAAATCACCATTTTGTAACCTCTGATGAAATGGTAAATCTAAGCAACAAGTATTAATATCTGCTAAGATGTTTAAGTGAGAGGTTGATGGAGAACCTTACGATAGAAGGGTCAGGCCGACGTCACCTGGGGCCCGCTGTTCAACCTTAACCTCACTGACAGTGGGCGCAGCGCATCCTGGCAGATGTAATAGGAATTATATAGCAGCACCTGTGATATATTCTGATCAAAAGAAATTGAAACAATCTTATCAAAGCTCTAGATCTAACAACTGGTTTACACAAACTAGGAGAGATAGAGGAACGTGTTAAATGACACCATGAGAACGAAAATAAGCCAAATCCAGAAGGAGGAAATTTTTGAAGGGTAAATTACCCAGTTTCATCAATCAATAAATGGCAATGAAAGGAAGTACAGTGGACTGGAAGTGATTAAAAGAGATTTGAGATACTAACCAAGTACAATGCGTAGGTCTTGTTTGGATCCTGTTTCAAGCAAACCAACCGTAAATACAAATGTTTTTGGACAATCAGTGCAAATTAAACATGGACTGTATCAGGTGATATTAAGGGAATTATTGGTAATATTGGCTGTGAAGATGGTATTGTAGTTGCTGGTTGTATTATTTTTTTTCTTAAGCCCTATCTGAGATGTCTACTAAAATATTTAGGGGTAGCATGGTAGCATGTCTGGGATTTACTTTTAAATACTCCAGGTCCACCAAAAAAAAGCTGAAATGAGGATGGATATATTAAGAATAACAGAAAGGTAATGACTGTAGAGCTGGATGATGAGTACAGGTGGATTTATTGTGCCCTATTCCTTTTATGTGTATTTTCAAAATAAAGCGAGGGTGGGGGGATTCCTTGTTTTGTTTTGTTTTTTAAGTTCTCCTGCCAGATTAGCCCAGATCAGCTTAGATCATTGTAGCAGTGCCTTCTCAGCAATGTTTTAAGTTTTCAGGTGAGAGTCTTAGTGTGTAGGGACGTTATATTGCAGATCTCAGGGGAAGAAAAGTTTCTTGCTGTAGCTTAACTATAACTATAGCTTTTCATCCCGTTAAATTTGTCTTTTCATCCAGTTAAATTTTGTAAGGAAAAAATTACTTCATAGAAAGAAAGAACACTGCTTAGGTATAGTGTAGTTAACAAGCTTATATGCCAAAATACACTGACATTGTACTTTTTTTTCTTTTAGACCAAACCACCCTGGTAGAACAAGTAAAAAGAGTAAAAGAAATTGAAGCCATTGAAAGTGATTCTTTTGTTCAGCAGACATTCAGATCAAGTAAAGAAGTCAAAAAGGTAAGTTTTCATCCAGGCGTTATGAATAAGCCTTTAGATTCCAGCTGAAGAGATGTTTTATTAATGGATTTCACTTAAATGTAAGTGCTTCTTCTAATAGATAGATGAAGTAGGGTGAGAGCATGTCAGCATGTTATTGAGAGAGAGAGAATGAACCAGTGAGAATCAGTTTAAGTTTAACTTGTCAAAAATGTACTTGTAAAAATGTATCTGATGCCATTTTTATTTTAAAATTCACTGCAAAGACAAAGTAAAATGTCAACCCAACAGTTCTATAACAGTAATACACATTTCATGAACATAAATATATGGTTTCCTTTTCAAGTGTGTATATCTACTTTTTGAATTGACATTGGTAGAGGAAAAACTAGAAAAGGGCTTTAACAATAAAATTATAATCCAAATAGTATCATAACATATATCTACACTCTTGCCCAGGCAGGTGGGCATCACTTTTTCAACTGTAGTAAGAGGGGCTTTGATTGTCATTTTATTTCTGTTGAATATTTTGTGTATTCTTTCAGTCATAATTAGGGCTGCTTTTCCTTTGGTATGAAAAGTCATTCTACATGAAATACATGTAATTCTTAGTAACATACATATTACAAAGACATAGTAAAGTTACCAATTATTCAAAACTATTTTACATCTATAAATTATAGAAAGTAATAAAATCAATCTGGAAAGCCTAGACTTAGCTAGTTTAGGTTGGAAAAGTATGACAGAGAATCAAAAGCTGTCTAGAAATATTATTAATTCAGCACTGTGAGTTGAGTCAGAAATGTATTTAAATATTTTACCAGCATTTTTGTTTCTTTCCTGTAAAACCACAACCAAAGTACAGAAACCCTGGGTTTAGCAATGGGAAAGCAGTGGTCAAAAGCATGGAATGTAGAGCAAGACACACCTGGAACCACATTCTGGTTCCACCATTTACTGGCTATCATTCTTAAACTTCATAACTTCATTAAACATTGACTTTTCTTAATCACTGTATTTCACAATGATCAGAAGAGCAGTGATGCACCAACAATGAATAAACTCACACTTGACTGTAATATGAAACAGAGGGCCAATTTATTAGTTTAGAAAGTGATATCCTCTTTCAGTTTCTAAAATGGCTGTGTCTACAGTACAAGGTAGGAATTCAGAAAGCCCAAGAAGCTGAATTATTTATTAGGAGATTACTTAGCACAGGGAGGTAAATTATCTTGAAGACTGTTTCATCCAGATCATGGGGAGACATGATGGGCTGTCCCTGACACACAACAAAGACTCTCTTGAGGACTAAATTACCCATGACCCAAATTTCAGCATCTTTCTCCTCTGGAGAGTTCTACACCCATGGGTATAAAGTGTGTGTCTCTGATAAAGGCTTTTCTATTCTAGCCACCCCTTCAGTTGATGGAGTCTTTCTTTGTCTGTGTTAATTCCACTAATTAAGCTAGGGAGCAGTTACCAGAAAAGTGGCTGTTACTAATGACATGCTAGACATTGTGTCATGTGCAACACATATCGATTTAACTAGTTTCATCCTCTGCAAGCATATTTCTCTTGTGAGTAGATAATCTGATAGCTCCTGCAAGAACATCAACTTCAGGAACCAAGATGCAGCTGGTTTTCAAACTGCTGTCCTGAATAAGCTTGTTTCCACTTATTCAGCCTTAAAATTGTTATATCTAGCAGATATCCACCTATGTTTAAAAAGAGGGTAATTTGTTCTTTAACTTGGAAGTACAATTTGAAAACAGTCTTTTCTTACTGAACCACCAGGTGGCTGTATTACTCAAAGCCAGATGCTTGATAGTGACCATGTTGAGGGCTTTTTAATAGTCAAATTTTCTCTTAACAGTTTTCCTCGCGTAAATAAAGAAACAATTCATGGTTCTCCTCACATATTTTTAATTACGTATTATTGAATAACTTCCATGCTCTGATTCAAACCTCTGAGAACTTCACTTACGTGTTCATAAGAACTTCTCAAAGAAATATGTACTGTGTAGGTAAAAATATAATGAGAATGCTTGATTTTTATAATAAAATGTTATCCCCACCATACATTTGGCAACTAGAATAACAGCATTCCACAATTTTTCAAGGCAGTTGTACGCAGACAGCTAGTCTACTTGCTAAGTCCTATCAAAGAATGGCTGAGGTATGCAGAATGACACGCTCTTATATTTTCTGCACAGCAACAGACTACCAAAAAAATGATGCCTTGGACCCTTTTGGGTTAGACTGCTTCCCATTTTCCCTATGCAGAATATTGGGCTTTGCTGTTATACGTCTTCAGTTTTATAAAGAGTCAGTATCATATCACTTACATAAGGGCTGTGAGTCTTCTAGGTCCAGTATGTTAGAGGCATAGAAACATTTGACACTTGGCGGGCGGTGGTGGGGGCGGCGGGGAGCTGACTATTGGCTCCAAAATATCAGAATAAAATGGCCACATCAAATTTAACAAATAATTCTTTAAATATTATTATGTCACTTGTTACAACTGTTGATTATGTATTTATTTTGGTATTTATTGATTAGCAATCTGTAGGTCCTATTAACAAAATGCAAACATGACATCAGTATCATGATACATAATACACGGATGAACCTTGAAAACATTGTGCTAAATGAAAGAAGCCAGTCACAAAGAAAACACATATTGTATGATTTCTTATATATGAAATGTCCAGAATAGACATCCACAGAGAGAGACAACAGATTAGTGGTTGCCTAAGGATGGGAGGGTGGGGAGAAATGGGGAGCAGTGACTTCTAATGGATGTGGAGTTTGGGGAAGGGTGACGGAAATGTTCTAGAGTTGCTTGTGGTGATGGTTACAAAACAATGTGGATGCGCTGAAAACCGTATGAATTGTAATATGTGGGTTATATCTCAGTAAGACTTTTATTTAAAAAAAATTACCTATGAATTTTCCTTTTATACTTAAAGAGGTCAAATAAGTGCTGGAGATTTGTTGCAAGCTTGTTTTGTAATAGAATTTACATATAAGGAATATTTTTTTCAATAGTATAGACTCTTAAGTACCAATTTCTTTAGAAAATTATGCTGATCATAAGAAATGATAAACATTTTGCTAATGTTTTAATTTTTTTTTTTTGCTTCTTTTAGGAATAATTATTTCTTCTTCAGTAACCTAGGACTTTTTTGTGTTTAGTATCATCTCAAATGAGACTATTGTGCTACTGTTATTCAAAATCAGAAATATTAACACAAAATTCTAATTGTATATTGTGATGCAGTTAATGTGTGTTTTATGTTTCAGTCAGTGGAACCTAGTGAAGTGAAGCATACAACTGCAACATCAGGACCAGCATCGGTGGTTGCTGATCTACCCAGTAATGAAAAAGAAATAGACCCCAACAGCATCCCTACTGCTATCAAGTACCAAGATGACAATTCTCTGGCTCATCCCAATGTAAGATCCTTAAACCTTAAGACTGTCAATTGAAGTCTAGTTGACTGAAATTCATTCAGACTGTTGTCCTTGTGTGTTGACGACAAGAAGACCATTGAAGGAAATGGATTCATATGTTCTGATTTGCTAAAAACAGGCAGTTGAGCCAGCGGGGAATGGGGAGGCAGGTAATGCTGGAAAGAAGGGGAAGGGACTAGTCAATGAGCGTGTCCGACAGACCCATCGACATGAGCAACGGTGTGGGGATTGACTTTGGGAGCAGGGTGTGGGCTGGGTGGAGGAGGGCAAAGGGGAGAAATCGGGATGGCTGTAAGAGAATAACAATAATAAAAAAGTCGGTAGCTGACCCTGAGCCCTCAGAGCTGTTGTGTGTATTTGCATATGTCCAACACATGTTGCCTGGCTTTTAAAAGTAGTCTTTCTATGGTTAAGAAAAATAGGCAAAAATAAGAGTTTTGTTTTGTTTTTAATCTGCCTCTAAAAGATCTATTTCAGGCTGAGCTTTAGTTGACTCATTGATTATGAACATGTCCCTGACATATTTTGCAATTTCTGTAAAATGGTGTCATTTCACTCTGTCAGGAAGATCGCAGGAAATAAACTTCAAAAATAACGTATAAAATGGTAAACCAAATGATGCTGATATTATTCCTTTTACTCCAAAGCTACGTGATCATTATCAATTCCAAATAGATGATCTTCAATTAAGAAGTCATCAAGAGTTAAAACAGTATCCAAATCTCATGCTAAAAGATTATTTTATAAAGGTGATTTGCATCATGTAAGATCAAATCCAGGTTATTGGCAGACAATAACATTCTTTTCTTTTTTAATTTCAGCTATTTATTGAGAAAGCTGATGCTGAAGAAAAGTGGTTCAAGAGATTAATCGCTCTTCGACAAGAAAGGCTCATGGGCAGCCCTGTGGCCTAAATGATACATGTGGTTGAATTAACATAACGTTGAAAATTTAGGTTTTTAAATCCCAATTTAACTTTTTACTCTTAAAAAGAATTGGCCCAATTATATAAAAAGGTAATTTCACTTCATTCTTGTTTCATGTGGTCTTGAATATTTGTCTATTTGAACTTAAATATTGTGAGTATTAACACTAGTATAAAATTGAGAAATGCATGAAATTATCCTACTGTTAATAAAGCTAATCCTTAAAATATCAATCTTAAAATAAATGGCACACAGGAGTGTTTCTGAGTACAATTTTTATAATATCAAGTTGTCATTTAAAGACATAGTTTTGATTAATCATGCATATATAAGAATCAAACTCTGTGCTATAAATATGAGATTCCATCTTCCATGTATTATGAAACCATTTTGAATCTTTTATTTCACCTTACTGGAAAATTTTAGGCCAATAAAAAGCACTCTTAACAGTCTGAGCAGAATGAGCATGTTAATATTAAAAGAATAGTACATTTATTAAAAAATTTTCTTGAAAATTAAATAAATTGATGATTTCTTGCTTAGAGATCAGGTTTTACTAAGTGCTTCTTTTGAACATGTTGGCAGATCTCAGCTCATTCTTTTAGAAATCACATGTTCATGCTAGACCTAACCAGCTTGCCAAATACCCATGATAGGGAAATCACGTCTGAGGAAACAGGTAAGAGTTCTCGCTTCAGTCTTGCTTAACCGTCTGCTGTTCCCTGTAGAGGAAGCCGGCTAATTGTAATTTTGAGAAGGCTACCTGGCACTGTAGAATACCTTTCTCTAGTAGCTTGAATGAAAATCAACTATGCTTTCCACACTGAGCATGCCAGAGATAAGGACTTTTAGGCCTTGCCTTACAAAACTAGTTGTCAACAGCTGACATAAATGTTTCCCTTTCCTATTTTGGTCTGTTGTCTGGTCGCACTGTAAGTTAGTCTCTGTGAAGACTGTACCTCCGAACACAAGATAAACATGAAGAGTTTTGGGGATAGGATGACCAATCTATAGGACATCTAATGATATCTTTTTTTATATTTCTGAAACTATTACAATTCTATTTCCTGTTAAAAAATGAAAAATATAAAGAGCTTACACTTAATCGCAAAAGGTATGGCAAAGAGACTGATAATAACATGTGTTTTCAGAAAATCGTTTTCACACTTTAAGTAGATTCTAGTGTTCTTTTTTCCTTAGCTGTAAGTGTCCCATATGAACTCAGGTTTGAATGGGTTTTAATCTAGATATATAAAATTTTAGTGACTTTAAAAAAGGATTACAGTTTCTGGAGTATTTTGTATTTCATTCTTTGTATAACTTGTGAGCAGTAAAAGTATACTGTCCCCCTTCTGGAAAGTATGTTTAGTGGCAAGAACATGGGTTGTCACTGGGGCCACAAGTGACTCCCCGAAGAACCTGGACCAGGCCTTTTTCCTCACTATGACTGATGTTCCTCATCCATAAAATAGTAGAAATGTTGTGATCTACTTTAATTATGAGTAATGTCAGTATTGTTTGGCAAGTAGCCCAAAGTACAGAAACTTGAACAGTAATAGATTTGTATTTTAAAGCTAAATTTTTCATAAAGATAGAAAATTGGTTTTCTTTTTAATTACCTTAACTTTAGTCCCTGCAGGAACTCAGTGACTATTATCCCTTCTTTCTGACTTCTTCCTAATATGATTCATTTTAATGCATTATTAACTGCATTTACCTGCATTCCTATTGAAGGCTACGATATCACCACACAAACCAAATCAAATTTAATGAGAAAGACTTCATAGAACACTGTCAAACACATCACCACACTCAGGCTAGGTGATGCAGCTTGGCCTTCTTTAATATCCTAACATAATGAGCCTATAAAAACAGAACAATACGTTTCATGTCACTTGAATAAGAACAATAATTAGGACTTACATGAGACCTGAAAGCATTTTATGAAATGTTGACTCTGTGTACAATGATGAGTACTAATTAATACAAGTTGGATTTTCATTCCTGAAGTGAGTCCATTCTCAGGGAAAATGAGTAAGGACACTTTTTTTCCTGGCACCCCCCGGTTACGGGGAGGGAGATACGTTAAGTATGTAAGGATAGAACCCTTTGAATCATTAACCTGCTTCACTTCAGCATCCTAGCGTATGAAATGAGGATACTGATAGTGGATTTGCCTACTTTGATTTTTCAGTAAGATAACCTAAAAGAAAGCCCTTCATAGAAAAAGTGTATGCTGGTGTAACATTTTGGCTTGGTAGCCATCTTAATGAAATATGAAACAGATAGTCGCCCAGAAAATGATTTCAAAAGCTACACCCCAGCTTCAATGCAGTGTACTCCCTCTGTTTGTGTTTGTACTATCATGGCCAATAGACCCCATTGCCACTGTCCCCAGCTGTCTCTGAGCTCCCCTACTGCCAAGACCACAAGAAACCCTCCTTGCTCTGCAGTTAGTGACCTCACTGACTTGAGGAATCTCAGGTCTTCGCCTATCAGATTTACCCACTTTTTAAACTTTTTTTTTAAATACCTAGCTTGTTCTGGGCACAAGAAGGGCAACTGGGTGTACAGAGGCTTCATTGTGAAGCCCCAACATGTATATGATGTAAGAGACATAATATTTAGTGGCAGAGGAGAGGATATGGGTGCAAAGGAGAAAGAAATAACTCCAAGTTATAAAATTAAGGTGGGCTTAGTGGAAGAAATCACAACGGATAAAGACGTGAGCGGAGAAGGCTCATGGAGCCACAAGAGCTCACACCCCCACACCCATCCAATCCATCTTTCCGATAGCTGCTCTAGAAGGCTGGGAGCTGTTGCGGTTCTAACCCAGGGAAGAGTCCCTTTCATAAAGACCCAAGTGGCCCCTCCCTCTCAATGCTGTTAAAAATCCAGGAAAAATTTGAAGTTCCTGGTCACTCGCTGGCATTTTCTGATCATTTCTTCCTTTTGGGGGAGAATTGACTGAACGAGCTAACCCTTCATTTGGCCACTGGCATCAACAGTCTTTGGATCCCCACTGCTTGTCAGCCAAGATGACATGAGCCAAGCTATGCAATGCTAGTTGAAACGTTTTCAGTACCTCTAGGAAAGAATTACATCTGCCAGTAAGGCCTTGATGTGAACCACTACATGTTCCCGACACTGTTTTTCTCCTGTGTGTTATATCAAGCATCAGTTTGAAGCTAAAGGACACAGTTCACTTGCCTGTGGTTAGATCATGCCATAAATTTCCTTCGGTTGGGCATCAAGTGAAAATCATTAAGTGAGCAAATAGGGTAGTAACGAAAGCTAGAAATGAAACAAGATATGGAATATTTTTGATCCCTAAACTATGGATGAATTGATCTAGAAATCTTACGCCCCTGTTACTCCTTTGTTCCCCCCTTTCTTAGCCCCCATATTCCTTGTGAGTATTACAGAAGAGATTTTGAAACAGCTCTTGGCCATTACTCAGTTGATACAGCACTTGAATTGTTCAGAAAATGTTTGAATGCCATCCTTTAAATGTAAGCCTTACTCTCTGGAACTCCCTTGTGGAATAATAGAAAAACAAATCATCTTGTAAGAAATATCTGAGTCTTTACAGCAGAATAGGAATAAAAATGGAGGTAAGAAAAAAAGAACACTTTGTGAATCCTCAAGTCATCTTCATCTTGTATCACATGGATGGATGTTGATCAATATATTCAGCTTTTTTTGGTTGGTTTTTTTCCTAAATCAAAGAAAACGTTCTGTCATATATATTTCAAGCTATTTTTGCTGTCATATCCCCAGAATCTACCCCATGGCTTACACAAAGAAGGCTTTCAAAAAATATTTTTCAATGAAAGAAGAGTAGATTTGTTCATCTCAAATGAGCATTCTATTTAACAGTATGGTTATTTAAATTATTCGAGTTATTTGGAGCCAGTGCAAGAATAAATAGGTGTCTAAGTGTATTCCCAACAGAATTGAAAGCAGGGTCTTGAAGACCTGTTTCTACGCCCATGTCCATAACAGCATTATCCACAGTAGATAAATCATAGAAGCAACCCGAGTGTCCGTGGATGGATGGATGGATAAGTAAAATGTGGTACATACCAACAGTGAAATATTCTGCCTTCTAGAGGAAGGAACTTCTGCAATACACTACAATATGGATGAACCTTTAGGACTTTATGCCAAGGGAAATAATCCAATCACTATTTAGAGTAAGCAGACAAAATCATCAAGACAGAAAGTATAATAAAGGCTGCCAGGGGCTGGGGGAGGAGAAGAAGGGGAGTTACTGTTGAGTGGGTACAGAGTTACAGTTTTACAAGACGAAGAGTCGTGGGTATGAGTGGGGCGGCGGCCACAAAACAGTGCGAGTGAATTTAATACCGGTGAACTGTACATTTAAAAATGCTTATGATGATACATTTTATGTGTATTTTACCACAATAAGTATATGTAAATATACATGCACATATATAAAATAAATAAATAGATGAGTTTTATAACCAGATTCGTTTGGTTTCTCTGATTTCTCTCTCCAAATGTCTCTGAGCGGACAAAGACCTTTGGATGTCATGGAGACGTACGGAGGACATTGTGCCTCCTCTGTTGCATTAGGGACTAACAACAGGGGCTAGACTTTAAGCAAGAATCTTACTAGTCCTATACTTGCCAAACTTTCTTTCTGGTCTAATTATCTTACTGTATAAATAATACTTCAAATGACTTGGATGTGGTCATTCAGGGTCCACCTACTGTCTCTTGTGGCGGTTCTTCCTTGCAAGCCATAGGACAGTTTTCAAGAAATAAAGGCTACCAATAGTGTAAGACAACACTTTAAGCTCCACAATGTACCATTTTATTTTTAGGTCTTGAAAAGGAATGGCAAAATGATCCTGCTGCAGTTCTCAGAATGATGAACTGAACTGACCCTCTCTTACTAGCATCTCGTAACACGGTGCTCAGGCTGAAATCCCACAGTGTAAAAAACCTGGAATAGTGCAGGCTGCCTTCATAATCGTTTAAAAAAGGAACAGCTAAAATTCTATATCCTAAATTAAATCCGTAACTACAGTCTACCTATGCATGTTTCACAAAAATTATGTCATAAACTTAACATCGGATTGAAAAATATATATTTGAGAAATAAATATTTTCCAAAACACCAGCACAACAGACTGAACGACAATATTTAAGATTGGGTAGATTTTTTTAAAGCAAATTTTGTAACTGGTATATTTACATAGCCCCATTGGAGTTTTCC